CTCATTACAGTGTACATGTACTCATTCATTTTACTTCAGGGTAATTCAGTACCATCAGTTTCCCAAGGATACCTTTATAAACAGTTTGTTTTACAACCACAGTTTTACAGTAACAGGACCATACCCTCAATACATTATTCCAAGAATCCCGTGTCCACATGCCAGGGCCACTCCATTGACCATCAGCAAGTCCAATCACAGACCTCCAAGACACTGTGTTTCTCGCACCTCTACCACGAGATTCACGGACAAAAACATTTTCAGATCGATGACTCTCAATGAAAAAATACACATCCACTGTCTTGTTTAGATAATCTACATCTTGTACATGACCATACCGGACATCGGTGGGACCTTCACCCTGAATAAGCAACATATCACCCTTTTCAGCATGCACAGGCACAATAGGCACACATGGGAAATGATTCCATGGACGCATATAATCCACAACAGTCATCACATCATTGCCACAGTCATATAGCAGAACTTTTCTCAAGATGTTCTCTGCCAGAAAAAAAGTGACATCTCTTACTGGATTTTTTGGAACTTTGGAGAAACCAGTCCAGTAGTTGCAAAAAATTTGCCCAACTGCATCATGGTAGAAGGAGTACAAGTAGCCCATTCCTACTATTCTACATAAGTCACTCCCACAGTTAACTGATAACATTGTTTCAATCTTAACCACAATCTCCTGACCATTGCTTGCAATTAAAACGTAATCACCACAACAACACATGGTACCATCATATCCCACATCATTCAAAAGACATCTTTTTGAAAACAAAGCTGAGGATGACACCAGGTCAACTGGAACAGACAATACACTTGCTATTTTCAACTGAATATCTCTTTGTAGGGGTCTGATGTTTGTTGCTGAGCCAATCAGTAAGCCTGTCTTGGTGCTGAGTCTTGACAGGCAATCTTCTTCCCAGTCTTAACTGAGTTTACAACACCCTGGGAAAGAAAAAAATATGCAGCTCCATAAAGGCCTTTTCACAACAAGCAATAAGATTTTCATCCCACTGCATTTAATTGTAGAAATCAATATAATCAGTAAAGATAGGATTTCACCCCGTCCTTATATCTATCTATATATATCTGGAGGAGATGCTTTAGCTGGCTGTATAGTGCTCAATACGTGGAGTAGAGCATATATAGAAATAATAAAATCAACGACGAAACGAAGTTTCCGTGACTCGTAGTTTCATGCTTTCGCAATCATCAGACGGTGGATATTCTAATGAAAGACATACCTTGTATACAAGATGCTAATTAATTACGCGGTGTGAAACTTAATTTCTATAATTATTGACACGTAATTCTACAGAAAGTGATTAAAAGCTAAGTTTCAAAAAATCAACTTCTGACTGAAAAGTGATTAAAAACTAAGTTATAAAAGTTCGATAGGTAGAATTTGTTTTCGTGGCGGCATTTAGAATTAGCATCTTATATATAAGGTATGTCTTTCATTAGAATATCCACCGTCTGATGATTGCAAAAGCATGGAACTACGAGTCACGGAAACTTCGTTTCATCGTTGATTTTATCATTTCTATATATATATATATATATATATATAGAACTATTTTGGAACAGAAAAAGAAGTTCCCTTTCTGCAATAACTTCGACATGAAATAGAATTTAGAACGTAACTATTACTGTATTCTTCAATCACTTTCAAGAACTCTGCTCAACCTCTGCCTTTAATCATCATAGGTTACCTTTCAGAGAAACCAAATGTAATCTAGTTTCAAGAACAATTTTTTAAAACCTAATTCTGAATTGTTTTGTCCAGGGTTATTAAACAGGCATAGGCAACCAAATTCCATTTGATTCCCAGCTACTCCAGGATTAAACTAAATTAGATGTTATAATTATTCAATACAATTACTGAAAATCTCACCAGTTTAACATCATGCTTCCCAAGCTCAGTGGCCACTTCCATACTGCAAAGTGATTTCAGAAACTCTCTCCGTGCCTCTGAACTTGCAAAGGTTAGTTCAATTCCTTCGCAGTTGTGTGACTTTTTAACCTAGTGTTTGACAGCCCTTTCAAACACTGCGCACCAATAATTGTCACAAGCGGAAAAATTAATGTCTTCGTGAATATGCAACAAATTATGCAAAGAAATGGTGCACATCTGCAGTCCTTGCACTTCTTCAACGAGTATGTTGAGTCTCTGTGCTATCTTGAAATGAACACTTATCATTTCATCAGTCCAGCCCAGCCTGCCACTGTAAAAGTGCAATTCTGTCAGTCGTGACACCAGGGTTTGAATTTGAAACTCATCATCCTGAAATTTGTCTTCAAATATAGAATTTGTCATGGGAAAAGAAAATTTCTGAAGCCCCTCTGCTTTCCAATGGCCAACCCCTTTGCATTCCTTGCCAACTGGTCTTGGAAGTCTTCCATCCTTTAACTCTTTGCTCCAAGGAAAATCTCTTATTTGCTTGTCAAGGTATTCTGTGTCCACCAATTCAAGTTCCAGTAGTCTGGTCAGTTGGTTTTTAACAACATTTAGAGGAATAGTGTGATAAACATCAGCTGTGATATTCCAGTGAAACCAAGTTTTGATGACAATGCTTTTCTCACACTTGTTCTTGTCTCATTTTCAATGTCATATAGGTTTTCCAACTCCTTCTCAATTTGCAGTTTTTCCCACGGGTAGCGACCATGATATCTGTTGTTCCCATAATAGTAGTGAGTGTTAGATGAATTTTTTAGTTGTTGTCCATGGAGTTTCTCTCTTCTACATTCACATTTTCCTTGATTGAGAAACTTGCCAACTTCACACTGCCCTGGGTGGTCTCCTGTCCAACATAAAAGCAATAACCAGATAATTTCAGTTTCAGAAGAATGAAATTCATCACTTGTTAACTGTAGAGGATAAGGAATGTTATAACCCGAAAGAAATCCGTTACAAAGATCATCCATAAGTGGTTTGAGAAAAGGATCTAAATACTCTGGCAAATCCTTAGGTAGGTCAGAACAAGGGACAAAGCTAACAACGTACACTTCGTCAACATGACACCGATCAGTCTTTTTCATGTTAGCGATGGAAACTTCAATGGAACCACATCCTCTGAAACTTGTTCCAAATGGTTGCCACCCATCCCAGTGGCCTATGAGGGCCAAGTTCAGTGGGGAACCTCTTGCCATTTTCATAGAATGGTGGAAAGTTTCAAAGCATCCAGGGCATGTTACAATCTTCAAATTATCAATTCCCTCAGGGGAGGTAGTCAAATGATCCACAGAAATTATGGTACTACAATGAACGCAGACAGTTGGAAGTGGCCAAATCTTGCTACGGTCCCAAAACCACTGAAGATCTATCCACCGTTGACTATCCCAAAACTCTTGCTTTAGTGGCCAACTTTCCTCTCTACCAAGCCAGTCTTCTCTTTCGTTCCAATGAGAGAGCATTTTTTTGCACATTGGTTCAGTTTTGAACCAGTTTTTAATCTTACTTTCCAATCCCAAATAGTAATATTTGAGATAGCCTTTATTTCCACAGTGAGTACAACAAGCACCCTTGCTATCCATGATGCTGAAATTTCCACTGTAAACAAATCTGGTATGTGTTTTACCATTTCTTGTAATTACCTTTACGGTGCGACAAAAATATATGGTATATTCCTTAGCGTCTTCAAAACCTTCTTCCTTCAATAAAAGTTGCATCAACATCATTCCAATTTTTGGGCCACATAGTACTCAAAACATCAAGGTCAACATTGCCATCAATTAAAGTGTACAACATTGTTTTTCCATAGCTCAGAGTGTCACCAAAGGTTTTAACAGATGATCCACTTTCATCCATAATTTTCAGAGCGTCAAGAACTGCTGTAAGAATAATTTTTTTGAGAGGTTGAGAGGTTCCGTACTTTGACGTTCCACAGCTTCAACAGCTGCTTCAAGTTCTGGGCAGATGGGATTAGGACTGTTTTCGTCTGATCCTTCGCTAAGACTGTCATCAAGTTCATTTGCTCCTGGAGTTGAAGGACTTGCTGATGAGCTCGGCCTTGCAATTGATTTAGGATCACTATCAATGGCAGTTTTCTCTCCAGTGCCGTAACTCGGTAGTTCTATCGGTCGCACTTCCTTGACACCAAAAACAAGGAAAGTGAACATGCCGGTATGTTCTTGCACTGCAGTCACAAGCAGATATGTCTTCCCTGGACCAAGCTTTCACACTCGAAGAGTCCGCCATTTTGAGACAGAGACACGGCTACTAAACATTCGACCCATTCTCCTCAAGGCAATCAGTTAGCCAATCAAAGAAGCCAGTATATTTCTTATTGTGACGTATCACTGATAGCTACCAATAGCGCATTCCGTTTTATGAAATTGTACTAAAACGGCGGGAAACAACCGGAGCTGAAGGGTAAAATAGGAAAGCAAGCTTCAATTCATTCCTTTTTGGTGGTGGCTGTCTAAGTAAGTCCAGACAATTAGCCTTTGAGCTGTTATATATTGATGGCAAATTCAATTTTAAAAGTTTTTGAGGATGTCAGAGTCTTCAGAAATAAGTAAGTTCTGTAAGTTCTGTATTTTTACTGCACATGGGGTTGGAAATATTTTGCCGAATTTTAGAAAGCCTATGAAAATTGCTGGTGCTTAATGGGTTAATTAAAGAGCCACAAAGAGCCACTCGGTTTTCGGCCGCCATGCATTTGGCGTTCTTCTATTCAAAATAGCCCTTCCAGACGTAGTTTGCATCCCATTCAATTCAGTGTTGCATTTTGTTCCCGAACAAGCATGGAAACCTGTCTTTGTTTGCATAATTCTATCATGGAAGTCACTCTCTTTGTGTTGTAAGATTTAAAAAACATATCGAAAAAATAGTAATGAAAAATCCCAGTCCTAAGTTGCCAAATTGTGCATGAATGACAAAATTTTCTATGCTCTGCTTTATCCCCTCACCCAACTGACTTCACATTCAGACATGCATTATTTGAATATGAGTTATGGTTGCAAAGTTTTCCTTGTGTGTTTCACGCCTAGATGAGGAAATAACACACTTGTCAGCAATTGCGGATCTTCTTAAAAGAGATGCGGATGCCAGCATTTTCAGAAACCTTGGAATAAAATATGGATCAGCTGTGCGATTTAAGACAGAGTTCTCAAACACAGTTCCAGTTCGTCAACTCAGTTCCAGTCCACGACTTAAACCAACAATGGGTGAAATGTCTGGTTTTAACCCAGAAATGAAAAGGCTGTATCTGTCAAAGTATGTTGATCTTTTATCAATACTCTATGGTAGCTAACACTTAACACTTCATAGAATCACCATTTCTTACTAAATGTAATTTGTCGCAAATAGACCAACCTGGTTTAACATAATGGAGCCGGCCTGTATTGGTTATAGGGTGGTGTTTATTTTCATTTGCAGTGTAACTCTTTTTGGACTTAGAGCCAAGACCAGTGATGAATAAAGGAGATTTAATATGTGAAACAGAAATATTAAGTATAAATTGATTTCAGGGCTACTCTTGTCAAATGCAAAGTGATATATGTATAAAACAGGAAACCCTCTTCTGGCATATAAGAACTAATAATATTCTTCCTAGATACAAAGATTCTCAATTGGAGGAGCAGAGGTGTAATAAGACGGTCAGATATTGAAAAACTGAGCTTTCTATGGTTAATATGTGATCAGTAACTTTAAAACTTTTGTCACCCAGACGTAAAAAGTTGGACATCAATCATCTGCTGTTTATTGGTTCCTTTTTAGCACTTCTTTGCCTTTTGCAAAACTGACCATGTATACATTTACACCTGATCATTTGAGAAATGTTTGAGTTGCCCTTCCTTGTTGTTGGTCACACATTTTGTACAGTGGCAGTTGTGAGGTGTATATTTGCCTCTGGGGAATTAACTGATCATCATCTCTGATTGGAATTTAAAGGATGGACAAGTTTCTGATGCTGAAAGTTCAAAGTCTGAAGCTGAAAGTGCAAAGTGTGCAGAAAAATGTTCAAAGGTTATATATTTTTCCATTTTCTTTCATTTTTATTTACTCCATTTAAGGCAACTTGTTCTCAAGCCAGGTTCACTTAGGTTATGTAAAACTATGGAACTTGAAATGTGCTTTCTAGCACTCCAAGAGGTATGGACTTTCAGTGTTTTGGGAAAATAATATTGTTTCAGCTGATGGTTGGAAAATAAAGAAATTTGAGAAGATTTGTGTGAAGCATGAAAACATCGAATCATTGAGTGGGTCTGCAACATATGCCAATTTTGAGGTTGTGGGATTTTTTATTAAAAGTGATGAAATTTTTTGTCTCAGTTCAAAATGTGAATCCTGTTTTGGTCTACCTCCTAAGCAATCGCTCAGAGATATGTATATCCCTTTTCATAAAAAAGTTTGTGCTAGTTTGTTCCTGTCTTAGGAGTTCTGGCAGAGCTAGCCTGATCATGCTGG